ACTCATGATGTCATGAAAGTTGGCACAATGTTGGCTCCTCTTGACCACAACTTTAATGCCAACAGACCTAAGGTGAGTTGTGTGATGGTAGATTTATTATAATTTATTTTGGAGTTATAGCCAATGTTTTGTGTTCAGACATTAAACTATATTTTTTATGTATGCACACGCCATGGCATTAAATTAATAAACATTACTATAACCTAGGTGTTTGCTTCCCTTAAATTAGGCCTTGATCCAAGCTGGTGAATGTCAGGGGGAACCAAGGTTCAAAATATCCTGGAATAAAGTGTCAAAGCGATTTGGAGCTGAACGAGTTTTAGAAGAGAAATCCCATGAATATCTAGAGGACATGTTGCAGGCAGCTCTTCATTTGGCAGCTTCAGGTGTAAAGCCCGCTCCAAGGCTCAAAGGCTGATCAGGTATCATGGCCCCACTAGAAAGGCCAAGTCGCAAGGAGATTATTGACAGAAGAGCACAGTTGTCTCGACTTAAGTAAATTAATGAAAACCTTTTAGCCCCTCTACTTTATATGATCACAATTATTTCCAGAATTGCAATAACAATGGGGGAAATTAATTAGCATGTGCAGATCATTCATGTAGGTGTCATTGAAGGAAATGTTTAGAATTTTTTTTTTTACTATAAATGCTCCATTAAGGTTCCTTTTCCTTCAATCCATAGTAACTTGCAAGCTTTCAGAGAATAAGACTACTTTCACCATAAAAGGATAGTGTTATCAAGAATATGACACTTCATTGATGAAATCGTCCAAAAAAAATTAAGTCGCAATCTGATAATCTATTTATTTCAAACATCATAGATACAATTGTACAACAGTTTTAGTAATATTATAGTCCTTGTACTTAGACTCTCAGTCTAGACTGAAGCAACTGTCCTGGGCATTAGAAGAAAGGGTTTGCAAATATTTTGTTGAATTTGTTTGGAGATTGGGAAGTGGAATAATTGAAATTTTCACACCAGGCTCATTTATTCACTGCAATGTGGAGTAAATACATAATGCCAGTTGGAGGTCTTCTTTAACTACTACATGTACTTCACTAGTCAAGGAAATAATAAAAAAAAAATACATATATATATTTAAACATCAAGATTGTGGTGCTTAGTACTTGGTTAAATTTTAAGGTCCATTTTAGATTTGTAAAAAATCCCTCCATGCTTGTTCAAGCTCATTGTCAAAGGCACTGTCATCCTCCTCTTCTCCTCTGTATCCTGTGTATAAACCATTTTGTGCGGGGAATTCAGCTCTAATTTTCTTGACTACACAAGATGGTATTACACGCCAAATGCTCTTTCCAAGGTAGCCATGGACCCACCAGCTTAACTGTCTGTATGCAGCATGTCTCAGTGACCTACGTAAAAAAAAAAAATCACTTGGATAAATATGGGGAGAATACAATTCAGTATATTCAGAATGTTCCAAAACTTAACGCAATAGCCCTTTAAAACTTCTAGATGAAAGGTGGCAAGATTTTGTTCACAACTGTTCAATTTGCCCATAAATTTTCTGTTGTTAGAAAACAATCTAGGAGGTCTACTTTAATGGGTATTCTGTTAGAATATATATATATTTTTGAGTGAAATTGAGACTTAATCCATTCAAAAACAACATTAAGACTGTCAATTGCATATTTAAAAGAGGTCAAGGAAAAAAGGGATTTTGGCACAATAAGTGAAGTTGCCTGAGAAACTCAAGCACAGTTCAAGCGTACCTGTTGGACATTTGCTGCCTATCAGGAAGACCAGCACTCTCTCGATCATGGAGACTAACCAGCGCTGTCCACAAAACATCCCTGTTAAGGCGCTCAGACTGAAAACTTTTGTGCTTGGTAATGCAAGACAAACCTGTAAAGAAAATCCCTTGTCAACTCTTATGTTCAGCTCTTCTGATCATTCGGACGACTCATGAGAGGTAATGCTCCCAAAACGAAAAAAAAAATCAGGACATGATTAAACAAAAGCACACTTAGGCTTAATAGTGGAGAACTCATAAACGTAGAGAGTTTTTTACTGAACAGCAAGGAATCAACTGGTAAGACTCTTCCTTAAAAAAACAACAAAAGCATAGCAAGGTGAAAGCAAAGTTAATATTTTTGATTCACAATATCTCTTCAACCATTTTCGACAAAAATGCCGACTCTTTACAGCAAACAGATTCGACTTCAGTCGGCATAATGGCGCACCGTTCGCAAAGGCACCAAGACGTGTCCAAACGGCGAACGCCAGTATCTGCATTTCCAAGAAGAGAATCGTCTTCTTCCTCTTCTTCTTCACTTCTGCTTCTTTCCTCGGTCGACGAGTACTCTGGTTCCAGTTGATAAGGGAGTATCTGCAACATTGTTCAGGTCTCTTCACCAAGAAGTGCACTCAAAACATAAAGCACTGGGTAACCAAGCAATGCGAAGCAACCACCATACGTCATCAGCCCGTAGTGCATTGCGCGCCATTCAAGATGGCGGCAGTGGGAATTTTAAATGAGCTACAGACCGATCTTTAAAAGACGATAAAAAAAAATATTTCACTAGGTGAGACATTTTTACAGCTTTACAGTGTTTTGAATGATCAACATATTAGTGATGATGATTATAAACATGCGAAAAAAGTTTGGAAAAAATTTAAATTGACAAATATGGGCGAATATCATGATATATATTTAATGTCTGATATTTTATTACTTGCATATGTATTTCAAAATTTCCGAAAAATATGTCTTGGATATTATAAATTAGATCCATTTCATTATTTTACATCACCTGGTCTATCATGGGACAACATGCTCAAAATGACAGATATTAAACTTGAATTGATGACTGATATTGACATGCTTCGATTCATTGAAAAAGACATGCGAGGTGGTACGTCATATATTGCTCATAGGTATGCACAAGCCAACAATAAGTACATGAAAAATTATGATAAAACAAAATCATCAAAATACGTTACTTATTTGGACGCAGATAATTTATACGGCTGGGCCATGAGTTAGCATCTACCAACTGGTAAATTCAGATGGCTGACAGAAAAACAAGTAAATAAATTGGATCTCAGTAAATAGACAGATGATAGTAAAATTGGTCTTACTCTTGAAGTTGATCTTGAATATCCCAATGAATTACATAATCTACATAACGATTTTCCTCCTGCTCCTGAAAAGGTCAAAGTAACTGAAAATATGCTTTCAGATTATTGTAAACAAACAAAAGACAAATTTAATATATCAACCGGACAAGTTCATAAATTGATACCCACATTAAACAATAAACAAAAATATGTTTTACACTATCGTAATCTACAATTGTATCTCAATTTAGGATTAAAACTAACTAAAATTCATCGTGTTTTAAAATTCAATCAATCGCCTTGGTTAAAACAATTCGACTTGTAATACAGAAAATCCAGTGAGGACTGTGACGCTAAAATACCAGCGGAAAATGTATTTAACCTGCCAAAATGTAGTTGTATCCGTGTAAGATAAATAGATGGTAACTCAAGAATATCTCCAAAAACAATGTGCTTCAACTGATCTGAATGTCAAAAATAAAACGAAATAATGAAATGTTAACTTTGAGAAAGAAACGATATTTGTCCAGACAGAAGTGTTTTTATCCTTTTTCCTCAGAATGAACACTTTGAACATTTGTTCACAGCCCAACACTTAAATCAACGCATAACCGTCATTCAGCCATCTGGAAACACCTTGAAACACTGCATAGCAACAACAGAACAAAGACTGACCACCTTTTGAAAGTTCTGAGGAAATGAAACAACAAGTTCGATTGCTTAGTCTAGGAAAAGCTGTAGATAAAGAATATCAAGGCTGCTCTTAACACGCAAACCGACTCCATTCGCGCCAAACTGTTTACGTGACACTTTCGTACTTTTTTTTCTGTATTGTGTTTCTTACCTTGGGAATTATACGCATAGGACACGCAAATATTTAATGTATTGTTTGATATTTTATATAATCTATTTTATATAATCTAAGTACCCCTTCTCGTTACTGATTTTCATTTATTTATCTATTATTTATTTATTTACTTGTTTATTTATTTATTTCCTCAATGATAACAATTATAATTCCTTTTTCAACAATTAAGATGCAGAAGAATAAATAAAGTTGGCTTACAGAAGTTAACAATGACGCCATATTGAATTAATTAAGAAAAAAATTGTCAATTCTTATCTGCGTACTCATTTAACTTGACGATTTTCCCTGATAATGGCGTTGTCTACTTTAATTATTAGTTAAAATTGTCTCCTCAAAAATCTTCCATTTTTTTTAAAATAAATTTTTAAACCTTTGCTTAAAGTTTGTTACCATGGGAGTTATACTCATAGGACCCGCATATATTTTAAGTATTGTTTCATTTTTTATGTACTCTTAGTGCACCTAACACTTTTTCACTTTTTAACTTGAAAATGGCGTAAGGTAGCGCCAAAACCTCGTTCGCCTTTTTAAATGTGTTTTAATAATCTTTTAGCGTTGAACTTGTCGTTCTAATCTAATCTAGGGTAGCATGACGTTAAAAATAGAATTTTCGCGGGAAAATTTAGGCTAAATAATGGCAATTAAGGATTTGCTGATTTTGAAATGTTTACAAAGGTCAATAACGTTGTCACAGCTTAAACATTATATTCTGCTATCCAACTAATAATTTTTTGCAGATCTTTCAGTAAATCATGGGTAACAATCTTAATAACAAAAACTGGCGGGAAATATTTGACTAATGATTCTTTTTTTTTGGACTTTGCGAGAACAATTACTCCGATTTGCCTTAAATTTAACAATTTTAACTAAACTGGATATTGATAACAGTGTAAAAGACTATCAAAAAGATCTCTTTGCTGTAGAAATAAACTGCTGCAGTTTTGAAAAACGACTCAGCAGCGATATTTGGCACCTTATGAAAACCGTGGAATCAAAGCGAAAGACCTCAAATATATCTCAGTAAACCAATAAGGGGAAAAATATTATCGCAAAAAAAAAAAAATAAATAAATAATAA